ATCTTTAAAATGTTTGCAAAGCCTTTTGAGTTTGTGACTTAGAAATCACACGAGTGACTACATTTTACTGAAAACAAACCGGCACCAATTGCAGATACTTCAGTAGATGTTAAACTTGATTCTGAGCAGTCATCAAACCACACACATTAGGCCTAGCTGTCATGTGGCTGATAGCACTTTGTTTAGAGCAGTTTGCAATTCAGCAAACCATTCCCTTTATAGCATAGTTAAATATGGGGAACCAACCACATGGCACCGATGCTGGTGTACTGAGACTACTGTATCTCCAGCTGACTAATTCTGTCTTGTTGTTCCCTGGCCCTCTTGCACCTGCCTGTGGGTGTTTGATTTAGTTTTGTGCACAGATGGTCAATTAGGTGTCATCTGTTTTGCTCTGTGTTGGAACCCAGGACAGACATCTTACAGCTGCAAGGGATGAGGCACAGGGGGGATGCATCAATTAGAAGTAGAGAAGGAGCCTGGAGAATCAACCAGCTCCCTCTGAAGGAAAGAACACAGATGGAGCAGATTCAAGGGTGGGCCTGTAGTCGCACCCCCTTTAGATTCCTGGTTTGCCCAAAGCTTAAAACTCCGTGGCAGTGGCAGCAGCATTTCTGTTCAGGCACCAAGAATGGAGTCAATTGACTTCATGGCTCTTTATAATCTACCCAACTCCTGCTAAACTCTTCATTCCACAGGTGTTAATAACCCTCTCCCCATTCTAATAGTCTTGATCAGGGACACTCGCCCTCCAGCCCATGAGCCAAATATAGCCTGTGGAGCCATAGTATCTGGCCCACAGAGCTCCCCACAGGTTGGGAAATTCGGCACCAGGAAGCAGTGACCATTAATACTAGCCCCTTCCCCCTTGTCAAATCCCAAACCCCAAGCCCTACATGGCAGGCTGGGGCTAGGCCACACCCCCTCCTCTAACCTTCCCTCCCCCTGCAATGGAGCCCATGGTGGTGCCAGCGGCCCCTTGCCCCCCTGTCTGTGGGGGCTGCCTGGTGGGAGAGAGGTCTGGAGGCTCCCTTGCCTGTCCCTTTTGTGCCTGACTTCAGGCCCTGGAGAAGCAAGTAAGGGAGCTGCAGGCTGAAGTGAGCAGGCTGAGGGGGATCAGGACTGCGGAGGATGAAATTGACACCTATTTCCATTCTCTGCAGGATCAGTCTTCCAACAGGCAGACCTCCCGGGAGAGATGCACAGCTCAGGAATGGAAGAAGCTGACCACCAGAACCAGGGCTGCTTGGGCTAGCATGGTGGCAGCTTCCTAGGTGCAACTAGGGAGCAGATTTGAGGACTTGGCAGCCTTAGAGAAGAAGGTCGAGGAAGTTGCCTCCGGTGGGGACGGCACGGTCTGAACATGGACAGAACGAGGAAGAAAAGCCGAGTCCTCGTCATCGGAGACTCCATCCTGAGGGGAACGGAGGGTCCCATCTGCCAACCCAAACACATGGGGCATAAGGTCTGCTGCCTGCCTGGGGCTCAGATCCAGGATGTTGCAGGCATAATCCTGGACCTCATTCGATCCTTGGACCAGTACCCCATGGTCCTAATCCATGTGGGAACAAATGATGTAGCAAGGAGCAGTCCAGACCACATCATGAAGAACTATGAGGCTCTGGGAGCCAAGCTCGAGGAGACGGGGTGCAGGTGGTATTCTCCGCTATTCTGCTGGTAAGTAGACGCGGACAGCGCCATGAGGTCTGCATCGGAGCAGTCAACCAGCAGCTTCGGAGTTGGTGCTACCAGACAGGCCTCAGGTTGCTTGACAACGACCCGCTTTTTCGCGCAGGGGGCTTGCTCAGGTGCGATGGGCTTCACCTATCCCCTAAAGGAAAGCGTGTCTTTTCTTCCAGGTTGGTTGATCTCGTACGGCATGCTTTAAACTAGCTTCGCCGGAGGATGGGGCCACAGGGGGACACAATGACACTTCCCAGGGAAGTACTCAGGTAAGAGACAGGGGTCCGAATAGTCCTGGGATTAGGGGGAGGGGGTGCATATACCCTCAGGAGTCCTTAAATGCCTCTACACTAATGCTCATAGTATGGGGAACAAGCAGAAGGAACTTGCTCTCCTGCTAGCTAACACAAACCCAGACATAGTGGGGCTCACTGAAACTTGGTGGGATTCAATGCATGATTGGGTGGTAAATATCAAGGGCTATAGGCTCTATAAGCGGGATAGAATGGGGAGGAAATGTTGGGCTGTGGTGCTGTATGTCAAAGAGCAATACACGTCCTCAACAAACAGCACTGGGTCAGAGGAGGGGCAGACTGAAGTGCTCTGGGCCTTCTACAACCAGGTCACAAAATCCTTGGACGTAGGTGTCGCAGTGGACATAGCATTTCTGGACTTTAGGAAGGCCTTCGACACAGTCTCTCACCCCATTCTCATTAAAAAATGAGGCGACTATTGTGTCAATGCCTACACAGTCAGATGGGTTGCCAATTGGCTGGAGGGCTGCACCCAGGGAGCGGTGGGGGATGGGCCATTTTCAACCTGGAGGGAAGTGGGCAGTGGGGTTCCCCAGGACTCGGTCCTTGGGCTCGCACCATTCAACATCTTCATCAGCGACTTGGACGAGGGGGTGAAAAGCACCTTGTTCAAATTTGTGAATGACACTAAGATGTGGGATGAAGTGGGCAAGCTAGAAGGGACAGACAGGCTACAACTAGATCTGGACAGATTGCAGGAGTGGGCGGATGAGAATAGGATGGATTTCAGTACTGACAAGTGCAAAGTGATGCACCTGGGGAGGAAGAACCAGCAGCATACCTACAGGTTGGGGAACTCCCTTCTCGTCAGCACAGAAGCACAAAAGTATCTTGGGAGTCACTATTGATTCTAAGATGAACAAGGGCCACCGATGTGAGATTGCGATCAGTAAGGCTAACCGCACCTTATCATGTATCCACAGACGCATCATGACCAGGTCCAAGGAGGTGATCCTCCCCCTGTATGTGACATTGGTCAGGCCACAGTTGGAGTGCTGCATCCAGTTCTGGGCGCCGCACTTCAGGAGGGATGTGGACAGCATTGAGAGGGTCCAGAGGAGGGCCACTCACATGGTCAGGGGCCAGGCCCTATGAGAGGCTACGGGACCT